TATATATATATATATATATATGTATAATGCACTAAAAGGTATCTCTCTAATATCTATAAATATAAATATCACTCTATTTTGGTCTTTTTTGTTTTCAACAACAGGAAAGTATTCAATAAATAGATGTTTGAGCTCATTTATGGAAAAAACAAAAACCTAATAAAAAGCATTTGGGTGGAGTAACTGTAGCTCGATAAGACCCCACCCTTAAAGCGCCCCCACCAGCTTTCATTAGAGTTACACTGTTGCACTATTGGCTTGAAATTTGGAATTTCAAAGTATTTCACCGAGTGTCAATAAAGGGTTAATTGAAAGTTAAATGCAGGAAAAAACAAAACAACAAAACCAATTTATTAATGTCTCCATTTAGCTCTTATCTGTCGGTTTTCTTGACTCTCTGGAGAAACTTCTGTCTCTAACATCCAGACATCAGGATCAGTTTAGCTTTCTGAGAATCCGCATCTTCAGAGCTGGTGCGTGAGTGAGAGCCACGCAGCAGCTGAACTTTCTCCCCGATCACGCAGCGTAGCCGCTATTATCCAGAGGAGCAGCTCTCTGATGCATCCAGCAGCGCCGCTTGCGCGGTGCGCGCGGTGCGCGCGGCGCGGCGCGGCGCTGTGCGCCCATTGGCCAGAAAGACTCGAATGATTCGCTCGAAGTTCGTGCAGCAGGGGGGGCTGGATGAGACGATGAGCGCAGCCTATGAGGAGAGAAAGCTGCAGGATGAGTTTTATGATGCTGCTGGTAGAAATGGATCAGTGCTGATCTGGAGCTAACCATTTCCACAGCAAAACCCAGAGGGATTGCTGCATCCACATCTGAAATTTAGACTCTGTAAGTTTCTGCTGTCTCTATGTTGCATGATCAGTTCAACTATAAAGAAAAGGATCATACTAGAATCATTCTACAGTTTGATTAGTGTTGAAAGTTTGTTAATGGCTTCAGTTAAGATTGAACTCTGTTGTTTGATGCTTTCCCAGGACCAGCATCCCGTCCAGGTGTGAAACTGTGAGGCTGGTTCTCTGAAAGCTTCAGGTGAATCCAGGAGGATGGGAGGAGGAGGACAGCAGACTGAGCCTGCAGAGCCAGGCAGCGGGAAAGCTGCAGGTGTTTACACCTGGGAGGAGGTGCAGAAGCACCGCAGCAGGAACGACCAGTGGCTGGTGGTTAACAGGAAGGTTTATAACATCAGCCAGTGGGCCAGAAGGCATCCAGGAGGCTCTCGGGTCATCGGCCACTATGCAGGAGAGGATGCTACGGTAATAGAGCTGTTTGATGATAATCATCCTTACTATGAAAAAATCATGGAAAAAGGATTTTTCTAAAGTTCCTGACACTTTTAGATTTATGGAGATGAGATGAAGGCGTCATCATCTCTCTGACACTATTTTTACAGTGTAGATCCTGACTTTCTCACTCATTTTGCTTCAGAATAAAGTCACCAAGCAAGGCTTGAAATCTGCCAACTTTTAGCCGTTGAACAGATTTCCTTGAAAGTGACTCTGAGATGTTGTGTTTTCACTGAAAAGTGTTCAGTCAGCTGAGCAGCTGCAGACCTTAAGGCTGCGACCATAAACCCAAACCAGAAAGCCTCCAGGATTTTCTTGAACTATTGTTAATCCTGCTGATCGGCTTTGTGTCGTTTTCATAGAATCTGATCCTACTTTTTATGACTCAGTGTCTCAGTTTCAGATTTATCTTTCCAAAGAAAATTTTTGGTTGTTTTTTGTATTTGTTTTGTTTTTTTCACCTAAAAATACTTTTTTCTTTTTAGATAAAACAAACAAACAAACAAAAAAACCTTCTAAACAAGCTTTTCTCACTAACTTCTTCTCTAATAGTTGTTTTTCAGGAGCTCTCAACATTTTGTTCTTTATTTTCCTGCAAATCATTTTTCAGTTTTAAAAGAAGCTTCTTTATTTAATTATTTTTGTGCTTTTGCAAAGTGATCTTTGACTGTTAGCGATGTGTCGGATGTTTTCCTATTAATGCTCGCCGTTCCCACGTATGTTGTTGCAAATAACTGAGTTTTAATGAACAAACTGTTGGAAAAAAAGAAAGAAATCCTTCATGCTTCCCTTTTAGAGCATCGGTGTCTCAGTCTTCCCGCAGCGTCTGCAGCTCGCCTTTGTTTTCTATAAATAAATAATGAGATGGTGTAATATGTCATTTCTTTTTATCTGAGGTCAGGTTGACCTCATTTAAACTTTTTAGCAGCTCTGTAACCAAAACCTGCTCTGGCTTCATGTTACACCAGTAAAGTAGACCAGAATTTAAACATTTACAGCATTTTTACCAAACAAAGGGCATTTATTTAAATTATTTACCCCTTTAATTTATGAAAATTAGTTTTATTTGTACATGAGTTAAAGCTGAAGATAAAAAGCTTTTTAAAGCAATCAGTGCAGCTTATATAACTGTAGATTCGCTTTGTGTAAATTGTTCATGATTAAAGCACCAAAAATATGTTCTAACTTTAAACAAAGCGACATTAAAAGGTTTATTGAAGTAAATTCATAATCAATAGTGAATTAATGACAATTTATCTTGTTGTTGCACATCTCTGGTACAGACAGTTATGTCAAAAAGGGAAACTCCAATATTATATAGATTTATTATACACAGCGTGAAATAAAACTAGGTATTTATCTCTATGTTTAAAGGATGATGACTTAGAGCTAAAAAAAAAATCCAAAAATATCTTTATCAGATTATCGGAATATTACATAATACCAATAAAGATATTTTTTGTGCATAAATGTCTTATTATTACCATGCAATGGTCTACAAAATGATTACAATAAAGGAACTTTTCTCTGAATGCTGAATGAAAACATTCATGAAAAGTTGAGTGGAAGGAAAAAGTGTGGTTTCAAAAGGTGCATGAGGAAACAGCACAAATAAAAGATCCTAAAGTTTTAGATTCTGCAGGCGTGTAAAATAGTTTGAGTCAATGATTTCGGATCCGCCGTATCGTGGAGAGCGGCTGCTGCTACTGAACCACAGATATCAGGCCTGTTTCAGCTGCAGACTGTTGCTCAATGGTCCAAAGTCGTCTCCTCACATAAAAGTAAAATTTCCACTTCATGTTGGAAGGACTAGAGGATGAGGAAAGATGCAGAAACTAGATGTTGACATTTTGAAAAGTTTTAATGGGAAAGATTTAAGGATTAAAAGTCATTTTTTTCTGTCAGATCATTAAATTCCTCCTTTGATGAGAAGCTTTGCTGGTTTAAAGATTGCAGGATGAGACGTCTGATTGGACAGAAAACCCTCCTGACTTTATCCAGAGGAAAAGCATGAAGATCCAACAGAATAAAGGAGTTCAGGTCTGATTCCCTTCATGCGTCAGTAACTCACCTGAACTCCTGCAGCGGTTCCACATCTCCTCCACAGTTTGGAGGTTATCATAGTTCACTGCATAGATGTGAACTAAGTTTGACCTTTGTCCGCTGTTTTCACGTGAACGCTGGCGTGAACTGTAATAAACCCACCATCACCCCACGCCGCCATGGCAGATAACTCCAATCGCTTCGCCTCATTTTTCATTCTCTTTATTGCGGCTCCAGGTAATAAGATTTCACTCTTCATGTTCAGAAATGATGGAGATCAGAGATATCTCCACAATAAACGAGTCACTAAATAAATATGTCTGTTAAATAAATCAACTACTTTCAGATAAAGTTTGTTTTCTTTGGAATAAAAAGTCACAGTTTGTTCTCTAGTTTTCTTTATTAAAGCAAACCTAAAAACATATTTCTCTAGTTGCATTATTGATAAAGCAGCTGATCTCGATTCTTTCTGTATTATTCCAACCAAATGTCTTTATTAAATATATTTTAGATTAATTTATTTCCTCCACTCCTGTCTTCCTGTTCAGGTCATTCATACCTAGCACCTTTTTTCTTTTATTTTATTTTTATAACTTGCTGTCCTGCGATCAAACTGCTATTATGACCAACAATTAACTTTGGATTAATGTTGGATTGTTTATTAATTAACTGTTTTTTTTTTTCAGATTATCTCCTTAAAAATCCATCCTTTAAAATTCTAATCTACAAGAAAATATGACTCAGTTAAAAGATTAATTAATTCTCATCCTTTCATATTCTACCCTATAAGAACAGAAAAAGTTTAGTTATTTTATGGCTTATTCTATACGGAAAATCCTCAGTGATCATATAAATATGAACAAATATTTTTATTTTCTTTGTTGTCAGCTATTTTTATCTCTGAAGGATAATTGTGTGAAATTTGTTCAATTCTGAACAAAAATACTTAATTAATCCTAAAAGAAATGAAATGTTTCAGTCACTCATAGCTGATTTTTAAGCAGGTGTTGGAAGCTGCGGAGGGGAAGGATCTTCTGTAACTCTTATTTATTCTTTTCTTGATTTTTTCTTGATCTTTTCTTGATTTCCTGATGATGTCACCTGCTTCCCAGGAGGCCTTCACTGCTTTCCATCCAGATCTGAAGTTTGTGCAGAAGTTTCTGAAGCCTCTGTTGGTGGGAGAGCTCGCAGCGTCAGAGCCCAGTCAGGATGGGAAAAAAAATGTGCGTCTCTACATCTGATCCTAAAAGGAGGTTTTTAAAAAGCTTTATGGCGACATGTTTATATTTTAATACATTTCCAAACCAGTCTATCGGTTTCTGCTTCCAGGCATCAATCATTAAGGATTTTGAATCTTTACGGTCAAAGGTGGAGGAAGAAGGTCTTTTTCACACTAAGCCGTTATTCTTCTGCCTCCATCTGGGTCACATCCTGCTGCTGGAGGCGCTGGCCTGGACCATGGTCTCCTACTGGGGGACGAGCTGGACCATAACATCCCTCTGTGCTGTGATGCTGGCAACATCTCAGGTAATTAAAAAGGAGGATCGTTGGTGTTCAGGTGTAGAGAAACATGATAATGGAGCGCTGTAAGAAGGAGCGCTACTGCAGGTCATTCATTCCTGCTGCCAGACTCTATAATAATACACTATAACAGCAATAACTCCTGTAAAAACCACTGTGCAGCTACATTATAGTTCTTTATTTATTGACTGTGCAATACCCTGTGCAATATGCTGAATATGCAATATTTCTCCCCCTGTATATAAGCCATCTGGATTGGACATTTTTATTTCTTATTTTCATTTTGTTTTTCTTTGTGTGCGATACATGCACACTGCACCTTAATCCTATTTATCTAAATAGACTGTATATATATTGCTTATTCTTAATGCACCTTTTTCCTCCCTGTTTGCACCTTCTGTGACTTCTATGCCAATTTGTGACGAGTGAATTTCTCCGCTGTGAGATCAATAAAGCTAATCTAATCTAATCTAATCTAATCTAATCTAATCTAATCTCATCTAATCTCATTGCATGCAGGCGCAGGCTGGATGGCTGCAGCATGACTTTGGGCACCTTTCGGTCTTTAAGAAGTCCAAATGGAATCACCTGGTCCATAAGTTTGTCATTGGACATTTGAAGGTAGCCTTCCTGGATTTAACTCTTTACTTTGAAAAACTCTACAAAGATACTGAAAGTTGAAGGTTTTAACAGGGAGCTTCAGCCAACTGGTGGAACCATCGACATTTCCAGCATCACGCCAAACCCAACATCTTCAAGAAAGATCCTGATGTCAACATGTTGGATGTCTTCGTGCTTGGAAAAACTCAACCGGTGGAGGCAAGTAGTGGAAAGAAAATATGTTTGTAACTCAGGCTTTTATAAAGACGCTGACACACCTTTGTCCTTCGCTCTGCTGCAGTACGGCGTGAAAAAGATCAAACACATGCCCTACAATCACCAACACAAATACTTCTTTCTCGGTATGATTGTCAGTAAAAATAAAACTTTATTAAAAACTGATAACAGCTTCTAGAAATAATGAATATTTATTTTGCAGTGGGACCTCCGCTGCTCATCCCGGTTTATTTCCACATGCAGATAATGAACACCATGATAACTCGCCGTGATTGGGTGGTAAGCTGCCGCACGCCATGCGCCGCACGTTGGGTTTAGACTTTATATCCTCATTTAAAGCTTAAAGCCACGTTAAAAACATTACAGGTGAATGAAAAGTTTTCTTTCCTTTCCAAGGATCTGGCTTGGTCCTTGTCCTACTACTTTCGGTACTTCTACTGTTACACCCCCCTGTATGGCTTCCTCGGCTCATTGGCTCTCATGACGTTTGTCAGGTCAGTATTTTGAAGAGACTAAAATAAGTTTAAATGTTTTTTTTTCAGCTAATAAGTTAAAACTCTCATAGCTTAATTTTATTTTTTAGCCGCATGACCTCACACCATGTTTGTCTCTCTTGCAGGTTTTTAGAGAGTCACTGGTTTGTGTGGGTAACTCAGATGAACCACTTACCGATGGAGATTGAATATGAGAAGAATCAAGACTGGCTAACTATGCAGGTATCTGCTTTATTAAAAAACTAAACATTATTCATTCTGCTGATGTTGCTTATCTACACTATTGTTCTGCATGTAATATCCTGAGCTGCTTTAAAGGATAGATTTTAGTAATGGGACTCAGAGGGCAACTGTAACAAAGAAATAAAAACGCTCATTTATTTATTATCTTCATTTATAAAGAATTTGTTTAAATCTCAAAGAAAACAAAAATACGTCTGAATCGTCTCTAGGGAAATACAACATTGCAGTATTTAACATTATGTAAAAATAACAGATTTAACTATAATATAATTAATTTCCTACATTTTTGTCCTTTTTGGACTTAAGATTAAAACACATTATAAGAGGAACATGTTTGAGGGGTCAATAGGAATGCTCATTGGACGGATTGATTGCTAATAAACTGGATATGATGGGCATCACTAGTGCTGTCACTCAGGGGCGGATGTAGGACATGTGGGGCCCTAGGCAAAGACAGGCAGGACCCCTCTGAATGGAGAACACATCAAACAGCCCCATTCTCCAGATAGATAAATGTTAATAGAATAGACATCCATTATCTGTTCTAGGTTGTGTCCCTCTCTTCTTGTCCCTTTTCTTCTTGTTTTCCTCTCTATGTTTTGTACTCAGCTGACTTTTCATGCTGTCTCTAAAGGAATGAAAGATTTTTTCCAAGTACTAAGCTC